TGTATTAAAGGCTAGTTCAGCGACTAGAGGCCAATTCAAGGCTTGTTCAATGATTTAATGGCCAGTTCGGGGCCAGTTCAGTACACTACTGACCAGTTCAAGACCGGTTTTGTACTTTAATAGATCGTTTAGAGGTTAGATAAATTGGTTTTATGTTTTATAAGACCATTCAAGATTTTAGTACTTAATTTTCAAGTCTTATTTGATTGCTTCAAGACTTTAGTAGCTTTGATATGAGTTTTGGGCATGAAAACCTAGATTTAGACTCGGGTTTTGATCAAGAATTTATATTAATTTAATTCTTAGATGTATTAGAATCCTAAATAGATATTTTATTATTTTTATGATTTTAAATACTATGTACAGTTCTTGTCGAACCCGTATTGTCGGACATTGGACTATTTGAAAAAAATAGAATCAGCAAGTAATAATATGCAATTATAATATTTACAGTTTTTCATGTCTATTATAAATCTTGATTTTACACGATACACTTGATTTCTGAAAAATGAATTAGATTTTGTTATAAATGCATAACAAGAGACATATACATAATTTATTAATTTTTATTTTGGGAAATCACCTGGTGTTGCTTTTCTGACACTATTTATATCTGTAACTAAAAACTTCTATTTTCTGTTGAGAATATTTTGTTTATCACTGAAAAACTATTTTAAGAAATATTTGGATTGTTAGAACACTGTAACTAATAGTAAAGACGTTAGACTGAGGGCACCTTGAACTGTATTCCCAGATTGCAATGATAATGCTAAACCACAATGTTGGGCTGATGTCGTTGTACTATATCTTTGTATACTTGCAGATTAAGGAATCGACAGAACTTCTAATTTATATTCTATTACATTCTACGTCACAAACATGTCACTGTTCTCATAGATGTATGTTATTATTCACTAGATCGATTGACTCATCTCTTATTATTTTTCAGATTTGAAGTTCGATATTCTTTTGGATCTTGCTATTTGAGGAGTGTCCACTGTTTCTACTATCTATCTCTTAATCGTAAATGTCCATACTATTTTTTTTTTAGTTTTGTTGAACTTAAGACTTTATGAAACGAGCTCCATTGACTACATACAGGTTTTCAGATATTGTATTGTCGAGTTATTGAGAATTAGCATGTTTTATTTAGATTTTTACATGAACTTTTGTTTAGTTATTTTTGAATCATAATACAGGGTATCTGATAAGCTTGTAGGGTTTTAAACCTTAACACTAATGATGGATCTAACTTATGGGTTGTGATAACATTCAATATATAAAACATACACATTTTCAATACTTGTATGATTTTTGTTCAAAATCGTGGATAAAATCTTTCTTTAGTTTGTGATCATCATTTCTATTTATGCATACTAGAAATATGAATTTCCTAAACAAGTATTTCATATAGAAGCAAATATAAATATACTAGGTAGAAAGTGTAAATGAAAATGTATACAAAGAATAGGCAATATCACTCACAATAAGGAAGAAATCAATGAAATCCAAGTCTATATCATTGTGGAGTTGGTGGCACCAATATGAGGAATGTCTTCTAAACCTAAAACCACAATTGAACCATTATAACCCAGCTTCATTTCTCAACTTCTTAACAACTTACCTAAAAGTCCTTGATTATTAGTCTAAGTTTCCATCATCACATTCTAACTCCCAACCAAATTTGGGTGTATAAAATCTGATTGTACAAATATAATAATAAGCTTAAACTGATTTAGAACATATAACTAATGAAGACCATATGACTGAATGCATGAACAATTCTTAAGTTAAATGATTTCAATATTCTCAAATTATAGATTCTACATCAATGCTTAGAATTCCACACACCCAACCTTGTTGAAATCTAAATCAAAAGTGGACTAATCTACAATATAAAGGCAAGATAATAACTTATCTTTTCGACCCATTAAAACATAATAGCAATATCAAATACCTAGGTACATTGAGAATATGTGTACAAAGTAATCTCCATCGAACTATAGAATAAGCCACTAATTGATAAATTATTAACACCTTTAAGAATAACCAAACCTCTCGCAAGAAAAAAAATCGACATTATATATGGCACATCACCTAAATTAGAGCACCTAATGAATCCAAATGTGACTATTATCCCCAAACTAATCAATAATAACTAATGAAGCCAAATGGGGTGGTTTCAAATTTTTAAATTTGTCAAGCAAAAGGAAGGACGGGATTGTCAGTAACCACACAAGCGTGAGTAGAGGGCAGAAACAGAGCAAAGAATAGGCAAACCAGCTCACTAGTTGGTTGTATTCGGAGGGACTGGCATTGATTGTGATTATACGAAGCTGAGGGAAGGGGAAAATAGATTCATCAGTGAACCTTGACAGCCAAACTCAGATAGGTGCTAAAAGAAGCTATCGCCAATAGCCTGGAGTCTGTAGGACTGGTTGTAGAACGGGGGAAGAAACAATGCCTAGTGGGTCACAACCACGCAACAAGGGAGAGTGTGAGAAATAGGGAGCAATAGAGAAAGAAATAAAGGTAAAGAGTGAGATGCATGTCTCACCATGGCCGAGATGAATTGAGAAAAAGGAGAGGATTGGCTCTATGGCTGGCTTCTGAGCTCAATGAAACAGAGGGCTCGATTGCTAGCAGTTGGCCAGCTTCTTAACTGAAAGGGGAAATGAATCTATCTTGTAGAACACCAGTCAAATGAAGCTACCTCGTTGAGAAATCAAAGGCTTCTAACGTTGGCTCTATTTGTGAGTCGATCGGCAGCCAAATACACGATTGAAAAGCCTCATTAGTGGCTAACCCCCTTGTGCTATAGTGCCCATGGCAACACAAGGAGAAGATGGAATATATACATATACATATACATATATATATATATATATATGAAAAGGGATCAACTAACACCGGTGTAAGTGTAAAAATCTTACACCGAATCTTACACCATTGAGATTTGGTCAAAATCAACGAATGAAATTAATTACAGTTATTTTCCAACAATTTCCAATAACTAAGTTACAGTTATTTTTCTTTAATTATAATTGTCTTCCAAAAATTCCAATAACTAATTTACAGTTATATTTCTTTAATTGCAGCTATTTTCCAATAACTTCCAATAACTAATTCATAGTTATCTTTTTTTAATTAATCTCATATATTGATTTTGACTAAATTAACGGTGTAAGATTTGGTATAAGTTTTTTACACTTACACTAGTATCAATTGATCCCTTATATATATATATATATATATATAATGTAGGCGTGTGATGGTTTAAATTTGCATCCCTTTTAACTTTGGTCCCCTGAGTATCATATGATTCCAATTTCAGTCCTTCAATGTTATAGAGTATTGTACTTTGGTTCTCAAAGGTTTTATGTGTTCTAAATAGACCCTTGAAATTTTTATTTCTTTTAATTAAGCTTTAAATTGAAATGTTGGTAACTTGTTATTACCCTTTAAGTACTGAAATTTAATTATTAATTCAAAATTAGATTACCAACACATGTATAAAATATAAAAGAATCTATGGTCCATTTTACTTAAGCTTTATAAAATATAGAACAATTATTATATCATATTATGTATAAAGTACTAAAAGACGATTGAATAATTTAAATTTAAATATTTAGGCTAATAATTTAAACTTAATAAATTACAACTGCTAATACCTCTCACACTGTTGCAATAGGCTTGTCTCTAACTCCAGGCTTAATTTGTCCCCTTCACAAGAACCTTTTTCTAATTCAAAATTTGCATGTTTAAACTGCAAAAGTGAATTCAAAATGCCGATTCAGTTTAAAATGAACCGCTAGCAAGTTGCTCCTTTCAACCGTTTCAATTCAATTCAATCTAACCATGTGAATGTAAAGCATTTCCGTGTGAACCGTCCACTGGCTTATGGACCCCCCTCCCCCGGGCGAAAATCATTCTATTCAAAGTCTAGGCTTTCTGGGGTAAAATTTGGACGTACATGTACGAATTAAACAGTCCTGACGTGAAAAAATTCAAATGGGACCAGTCCAAATTATTTTGCATTAAGTAATTAAAAGTTACTTAAGGCCTCAAGTAATAAATTAATTTAATTTTCACTAATCAACCCAATGGTCTTCTTGTGAACGGGGGAGCTTCTTCCCCAGCAACGGTTGTGGAGTAATACCTACGGTGACCGTATCAACATGGTTCCCACGTATGACCATGGAAAAGGACAACATTTTTTAGGTTAATGTAAATCGCATTATCATTTCTTTATACAATTTTAACAATTGCTAAAGGGGATAAGTATTATATTTCATTTGTACAAGAGGTAACTAATCCAAGGATATATTTGATCACGTGCAGCTCATGCGATTATTTTCCTTTCAATTTTATCGATTGGTGAAGGAAGGGCAAATTAATACCTTTCTTTAGTGAAAAGAGTCCAATAGTACAGGAAAAGTGTTCGAGGAGTTAATTTGCTATTAGGTATTTAATTAAAGGGGTTAGAAATAATTTGCCTACAATTCCAACACCATTGTAAGGATTCACCTCGCATGTCATTACTACTGAAGTTTATTGCCTACTATTGGACCTGCGTCACAATCATAGAAATGCAAAGACAAAAGGGAAGCCATTAAGTTTCATCAAGCAGTTATTGAATAGGTCTAAATATAGCGGCATAATAACAACAGGGCAAAAAAACTAGCGTGTGGAACACAAATCAGACAAGTCAAAAAAAAAAAAAAAAAAAAAAATTCCCAACAACCAAGTTTTTCCAATCTATTTTAACTTTTAAGAAACGTTGTCAATCACTGCCTCGATAAACCGCCCAAATATATGCATGAGACGATCCACCCTCCTTCATGGCGGTCCTGCTCTTCTTGCTCATTTCCTTCACCCTCTCCCTGATTTCCACACTCTGTCTCCCCCATTAGTCGCCTTATCCCGTTCTCTATCTCCTCCGCCGTCACTAACACCGGCGCCGCTCCCCCGTGTAAAATTCCTTCTTGTAGTCGAGCTTAATCTCCACCGCCAATCCAAATTCCCTCACCATCAGAAACGCATTCATTTGCTGCTCCGCGTATAATGGCCACGTTGCGACTGGCACTCCGCACCACAAGCTCTCTAGCGTTTGATTTCCAACCACAGTGCGACACAAAACCCCTCACGCAGGATGTGATAATACCGCCGCCTGTGGGGCCCCCACCCTATCACTTTCCCAATCTCAGCCGTTCGTTCCATGAACCCTTCTGGGAGGATTTCGTTCGGGTTTTCGTACTCACTTGGCACCTCAAATTCCCCTTCGCCGGCGGTCTTCTTAGGGACCACAAGAAACGATGGCCGGCGCGTTCCATGCGCATGGGCTATCTCCTTCACCTCATCCTCCTCGAAGCTACCCATGCTACCGAAGCACAGCAACACCACTGACGAGGGGGGTTGATCATCCAACCAAGTCATTATTGCTTCTGATTTTTTGTTGTCGAGGTTCACGATGGGCCCCACTGGATAAACAGGCGGAACTGTGTGGTCGTCGCGGAGAGACTTGACCGCATGAGATTTCTAGTTCCTCGAACGTGTTGATCAAGATTCCTTTAGTTTTCTTGATCTTACTCGCAACAGTATTTAACATGGCCAACCCCCCGTTTTCCTTGTCGAAGAACACCGCGGGCAGGACCTTACGGGCAACAGGTTGGAGAAAGCAGGAACCGACAACTCAATGTCTGAGTCCTTAAATTCGGCGGCCAAGTCTTTACCGAAATCCTCCTGAAGAGTGTAGAGATGGAACAGGAGACCAAGAAAGGCGGCGCCGGAGGTGAAGAAGGAGTAAGCCGAACACCGAATTCATCGGCCACTTCCATCATGGAGGTGCAGAACATGTCGAGCACGAACCCGCAAGTTGAGTTGACTCAGAATCCTCGGACATTAATTGTGACACGGCGTTTCTAACGTGGGGCTTATGGACCTCGATGAATTCGGTAAAGAAGCCGGGGCCTCTCTGGAGAATCTTTCCATCATGGAGTCGTCATTGGGAAGATCGACAAAACGGATCCTTTGGGGGATTGACGTTCGAGTTTGTAAGGTTTGGTCTCGAAGGGAAAGTGCATAAGGAGACGGTGATGGAGAGGCGTTGGTCTCGCTGGCAAGAGCTTCGCGATCTCCACCGCCGCAAAAAGGTGGCCGGCGCCGGGTGTAGGAATAAATAACCAGCTCTGCTGTTTTCATCTTTTTGATTTCTTCTGTTGGGTTTCTCTGCTCTATAACGTAACGTAACAGCTGCAATATATGAAGGATGAGCATGAGGCTATGAGTTGACGTGTTATGACTGGCTTCCGCTGCGTTGACTTGCTTTTATAAATTATGACTAAACATGCACGAACCAGTCCTGAAATGTGATCAGCACGCAACCAGCAGTCTTTCTTTTCAATATTTTAGCTTTAAAAGAATGTTTCCAGAGTATCAACATTAAGAGGACGGTATTCATTGGTGCAACAATATTGACTTTTCTCTCTCCATTATGTGGATATATATATAAACACACACATATACATACACGATTTGATTTGTATAATTTATTTATTCTTTATTATCATGTAAGAATGGACGAAATGGACAGCTGTTTGGGCTGAAATTGGAATTTAAATAATATCTTCGTGAAATATGTTAAAGAAATTAAAAAGTCCTAAAATTGTTATTTATTTTAATATTAAACTAAAAAAACTTAAATATCATAGGGTGAGAGAGAGGCGAGGAGCTGCTCAACAGGGGGGCAGGATAAGATAAGATAGTCTAAATTTTAGACAAAGTATTTATAATAAAATTTAAAATTATTATATGTTGTTTGTTTATATTAAATTTAAAATATAAATAAAAATATTAAATAAATAAATAAATTATTAAGATAATTCTTTTACTTTTGGTGATAATGGGTGATAAATAGATGTAATTTAATATTTGAATTATGAATAGTAAAAATTAATATTATTAAAAGATATGATAAAAATTTAATAAAATTATTTTACCAATTCCTCTATTATAATTTATTTAAATTTATTGGATAATTATCTGATTTACTTCTATCTCACCAAATTTTTATCTATTTTTTATTTAATTTTAGAATATTAGATAATAATAAATAATTTATCTTTACCTAATATATTCAACTTTTCGACCGTCCTCTCAATGGTTGAGAAGCATAAAAAATTATTTTAATTTTTAGAGACGTTTAAATTTAAAAAAAATAAATGAAATTTCAAGGCATTTTGGAACATTAAAATATTATTAAAATGTAGAATTCAAGCCCATCCGGTATGACCAGTTTCATGCCAAGATAAATTGAAGGACGATTAAAATGAGGTCGGCGACGTTATTGTGCGTCAAAAAGTGCGAATAATGACGTCACCACTTTGCTGGCTGGTATCAAATATTTCAAGGTAGCATATACCAACCCACCTTACGCAGAGTATGATGTAACAACAACTTTGGCTTGGTGGGCAAGGCGTTTGGGTTGACTTTTCATCGACTATATATTTGTTTCATGCCCAAATAATTTTATTTTTTTAATAGTGGGGTCTAAATAATTTACATGTCATATATTTTATAAATATTTTTTTATGTATATTTATTTTATCATTACTAAAAAGAAAAAAATTATTATTCTCACAATTTCATATTAATTTTGTCAATAATAAAATAAATTAAAATTTTATATGTATACATATTAATAATAGACAAGTCAATATTGTTAAATATAGACAATTCCTATTATTGGGTTTATTACTCAGAAATATATACATTACATGTGCTAGAAAATGAAATTATCAAATTAGAATATATGTAGTAAATAAATCATTTCTTATTATAAAAAACACAAAAAATAGTAAATTTAAATTTATATAAAACCATATCCAAAAACATTTATTTTAATGTATAATTTGACTCATACACCTTTTGCATTAAAATAATTTTTTATATCAATATTATATATTATCTTCTAGAAAGTCATTGTTAAATCTACATCATATAAGTTAGATAGTAAAATATACTTTATAAGCTACTAAAATTTCAATTTTATTTTACTTGTAAAATAAATATGCCAAAACTTTAAATAGATATATTATATATACATTTTCCCTTATATTTAAATAGATACAATTTTTCTAAGTAAGTCACTTTATTGAGTCACATTATCAGCAGATAGAACAAGCATTTTATGGTATTTTGGTCATATTTTAAAACATAAAAATCTAATTTATGTAAAAAAATATAAAATGAAATAATATGTTACAAGTTTTTCAAAAATATATAATTCATTATTTTGGTTGCGAATTCAAATTTTTAAAATATTTTGAAGTTAATTAACAAATTTTAAAAGAAGCAGTTTTTTCAATCTCATATGTACTTGAAAAATGTATCATTTCTCTCAAAGGTGGTTATGATCCAATAATTTTTTTTTTTTAAAAAAAAATACTTATTTCAGAGTGTTCAGAATTTTTCTATAATTTTTGTGAATGTTGAAAAGCTATTTTTTTTGAATTTTTGAAGTAAACATATGAGTTAATTACTACTAACAAAATATTAAAATTTGTTTTATTCTATAATACAAAAATGTCAAGAGTTACTCAATATCTCTTTAGTATTTTTTGCCTATAAAAAAGTATAAATTAAAGGAAACATGATCCATAAACAAGCTCACGGAGTTTCCTAACTCTCTCTCTCTTTCTTATACTTTATACTACATATTTTACTATCTAGTTCAATACAGAGTGCTTAAAGCAAATTATTTATTTTTTGAGTACCTCTTTAAAATAAGATTATTTCGTACATAAGTGATACTTAATCTTATTTAAGCAGAATTGTTATATTTTTTTACATTATGTCTACTCTAATTTGTATTAGTGTTTAAAGTTTACTGAACATTCCACCCTGAAAAAATAATTATTAAATATTCAAATCAAATTATTTTGAATACTCCTAATATGTGTTCATTCAAATTCATACAAAAAAATTCACATTCAAATCAATTCTTCCTCATTTTATTCAATAAAAATTATATTTAATTTAAATAAAAACAATCTAAGAGATAATTATCTCGAACCTATCCCTTTATTCCCGGCCAGGATTGGCGGTGGAATATATGTGATAAGAATAGTCACAGCGAATAATCTAGTAAATTAATGCGAAAAAAGGAAAAGTAATAAACGTGGCTGCCAAGACTAAGTTGATTATATAATAATTTATATAGCCCAGTCAAGCCTAAGTTGATTATATAATCATTTATATAGCCCAGTCAATGGTCCTATATGACACCCATATGTGAACGGGGGAAATGTGCGTTTGCCAAGTCCAATGGATGTCACATTTATAAGTTATCCTCGTCTACAGTTGGTCAATACATGTACCAGCTGTATGTTAGTTATCTAATTAACAAGAGTTGATTTTGATTAAAAATCATTTCAACAAACGTTGAGATTATTAAAACAGTACATATCTCTTTTATATATAAGTACATTGTTTTAGATTAAAAGGATAAAATAATCTTAATTTAATTTTAATGTGATTTTGTTAACTCTTATTTTTAAAAATTATTTTTAAAAAATATTTTGATTTCACGTTATGTCAAAAACATCTCATCATAGCATGCACGACCTTATAGATCACTCTCTGGCAACTCCCTCTCCCCCTCTCTTTCACACCGACAGACCAATGTTGCAGTAGCAAGTCCAGTCACCTCCCCGACGCTGTTGCCAAGAATGGCCAACTACTGTCATGAAAGCCTAAGCCAAAGCCATTGTCGCCGTTGACAGTGAACACTAGTCAGTTTTTGCAACCGGAAACCTAGCCGAGCTTCTCCTCTCCGTTTTGACTGCAACCAGCCCCCGGTTCAGTACAAAGAATACTCGTTGGCATCAGTTGCCCGTTGCCCTTCCCAACAAACCCAGCCGCCCCTGTTATTTGTCAACGTTGGGCGAAACCCCTTTTAACCGCGACCGACTATCAAAATAAGCTCTTTTCATTTCATGCCGATGGCTCCGACTAACTCTATCTTCACCATTGATCAACATTGCAAACCTAGTCAAGCCTCTATCTACTTCGCCCAATCAAGCCAGTTGCAAGTCACAAACCCAACTATTGATTGCCTCCTCGCCAGTCCCAGTGGTTTGCTAGAAGAATGAATGATCATTCTTGAAGAATCCTTTCAATGGATGTCGTAAAAGGAGTCCTAGTGGCTGGCCAGAAACTAGCGGCAAATGAATCGGCGAGTTGGGAGATGATTAAACATGATATTCCCTATTTTCAAATTTAATCCCTCAAACATTTTTGCTGATCAATGTGGTCTCAAAGTCTTTCTCTTATTCCATATAAGCACATTATCTTGATTTCATTTATTACCCCTAATCCGAGATATTAAATATAAAAATAAATTTTTATATCTAGTTTATAATTATAAAATATGATTAATAAATATTTAATATTTAAATATCATGATGTAATTAATCAATATTTAAATATGAAATTTCATACACAAAACATATTACACACTAGATAGATTATAAATCCATATCATAAAAAAATTTCTTAATTTACTATATATTACCCAGGACAAAAAGGAAGGAATATTAACTAAATAAAAGAATAAAATAAAATATTATCATAAAAAAATGTCAAATAAAAGGACACAAATTTGAAAAAAGGACTTTTGATAATCTACAATTACATCACATGCCTTTAACCTTAATATTATAGAAAAGAGAAGTCATAACACATTTTTATCAAGAGAAAATATCCATTTGTTTTAAAAATATTAGTGTTTTTTTAAATAATAAAAAAAGGAGAAGTGTAATTATTTCTATAACAATGAGAATGTCATATATATTAG